TGGCCCCATTCTTCTTCTGGCTGTTTTTTGGTTAAGTATCTATAATATTGCAAGTTGATGAGTGGACCGATTGTCTTGAGGTTTAACGGAGTTTGGAAGGCTGACATTGCCCTTAGTTTGCATGTGGCAGGCCATGCGGGGCCATTTGCCTGCAGCTAACCAAATCCAAAAATGGAATGGCTCTGGTTCTAAATTTTGTGATTTGCATGGTTTGGTTGAGAACTCTGATCACATTATATTTCAGTGTCCTCTTGCTCGGTTATTCTGGAGTTGTTTCAGAGAGTGGTTGCATGCGTCTTGGGCCTCGTCTAGCTTTGTGGAGCTAAGACCCTTGCCAAGCTCCTTGGCAGGACAACTCAAAAGACCCTTTTGGTTTGGTTTTTCTGCCATGTGTTGGACCCTGTGGACCACCAGGAACAAACTTACTAATATGGCTTTTCCCATGACTAACTGATACGTCTCCAACGTATCTATAATTTTTGATTGCTCCATGCTATATTATCTACTGTTTTGGACTATATTGGGCTTTATTATTCACTTTTATATTACTTTTGGGACTAACCTATTAACCGGAGGCCCAGCCCAGAATTGCTGTTTTTTGCCTATTTCAGTGTTTCAAAGAAACGAAATATCAAACGGAGTCCAAACGGAATGAAACCTTCGGAAACGTGATTTTCTCACCGAACGTGATCCAGGAGACTTGGACCCTACGCCAAGGAACAGGAGAGGCGGTCACGAGGGTGGGGGGCACGCCCCCTGCCTCGTGGGCCCCTCGAAGCTCCACCGACGTACCTCTTCCTCCTACATATACCTACGTACCCCAAACTATCAGAATAGGAGCCAAAAACCTAATTCCACCGCCGCAACTTTCTGTATCCGCGAGATCCCATCTTGGGGCCTATTCTGGAGCTCCGCCGGAAGGAGGCCGTCATCATGGAGGGCTTCTACATCATCATAGCCCCTCCGATGAAGTGTGAGTAGTTTACCTCAGACCTTCGGGTCCATAGTTATTAGCTAGATGACTTCTTCTCTCTTTTTGGATCTCAATACAATGTCCCCCCCCCTCTCTCGTGGAGATCTATTCGATGTAATCTTCTTTTTGCGGTGTGTTTGTTGAGACCGATGAATTGTGGGTTTATGATCAAGTCTATCTATGAATAATATTTGAATCTTCTCTGAATTCTTTTATGTATGATTGGTTATCTTTGCAAGTCTCTTCGAATTATCTGTTTTGTTTGGCCAACGAGATTGGTAGTTCTTGCAATGGGAGAAGTGCTTAGCTTTGGGTTCGATCTTGCGGTGACCTTTCCCAGTGACAGAAGGGGCAGCAAGGCACGTATTGTATCATTGCCATCGAGGATAACAAGATGGGGTTTATATCATATTGCATGAATTTGTCCCTCTACATCATGTCATCTTGCTTAAGGCGTTACTTTATTTTTAACTTAATACTCTAGATGCATGCTGGATAGCGGTCGATGAGTGGAGTAATAGTAGTAAATGCAGGCAGGAGTCGGTTTACTTGTATCGGACGTGATGCCTATATACATGATCATACCTAGATATTCTCATAACTATGCTCAATTCTGTCAATTGCTCAACAGTAATTTGTTCACCCACCATAGAAATACTTATGCTCTCGAGAGAAGCCACTAGTGAAACCTATGGCCCCCGGGTCTATTCTCATCATATCAATCTCTATCACTTTATTATTGCTTTGTTTTTACTTTGCCTTTTTACTTTTTACTTTGCATCTTTATACCAAAAATACCAAAAATATTATCTATCCTATCTATCACATCTCACTTGTCGAGAAGGGATTGACAACCCCTAATCGCGTTGGTTGCGTTGAGATATTGTTTTGTGCAGGTGCGAGGGACTTGTGCGTTGCCTCCTACTGGATTGATACCTTGGTTCTCAAGAACTGAGGGAAATACTTACGCTACTTTGCTGCATCATCCTCTCCTCTTCGGGGAAATCCAACGCAAGCTCAAGAGGTAGCACTAAGATGTTCCCATGACTGAACTGCGTCAAAATACTCCAAATAAGGCTTTTGATAAAATTGATTCCTCAGTAACCCACTTCCATAATTTTATAAAAACATCGTATCCATCTCCTCCCTAAGATTAGCTAGAACATTGTACAAAGTGGCCAATGTCACTTGGATTGATGTAATAGGAGGAAGATGATTACTAGTTCCAGGTGTAACTTGTGGTGTGTATGTCAAACCATAATTCGACAACAAGCAAATAATGTTTGCACTGCTAGGTAGTGTTTGGTTCGGCATTGCCATCGAATTTGGCACACTCATGATAGGACTAATAGGTGTAGCCACAATTTAGTTTTTTTGTCTAGGATAATATGCAACAATGTGGGAGGTGTAGATGAAAGGCAGAGTAAAATTAGGGTTTTCTACGCTAGCAGGTGCACCAACATTACCACTATATGATTGAGGTGTATCTTTTTAGCATCAATATTTTCCATGTAAGGTTCATACTTAATATCACTATTATGAGTATTGGGATTAATAATTGCAACTGCTTGCTCGGGACGGAAGGCACTAATCACAAAGGGTGTAACCTGCTCTTCGTGGAGAGATATCTCCAACTGAAGTGATGTTGCCTTGACGGACCGTTTTGAATTTTGCAAGAGAGTCCTGCAATTCCTTCTCTTCACACGCCTTCTTGTATTGTATGCCTCATAAGCTTGGCGATGATCCTCCGATAATTCCTCAAGACTAGGTATGATGATGTTATTGGCATTGACTTCTGTGGAGCTTGGAAGCTCATCATAGGACATGATGGATGATGATGATTCTTGATCATTAGTCCCAGCGGATTTGCACAAAAATATTGTTCACACATGAACACATCACCGTGTATCCCCGATGTCGAGCGTGATAGGCAAGACAATGTCACCAGAGGAGTCTTGCCGGGAGCACGATTCGCAAGACACGTCGATGAGAACTTTTTGAAATCCCAAACCCCACACGCCCGGGAGGGACCCCGACGTCTAAGTACTGCCCTAGGTTGGTTCAACTGCCCCTAGAGCCTTGGAATTGGCTGCTCTCCAACATGGAGAATGAGGGAGAGACAAATTGTAGATGACATAATGAGTATATGCGTTAGCGTTTGTGAGCTGTAATTCAATTGGTCCTCGCCTCTATAAGAGGCGACTGTACTTCATGCATAAGAAAAATACTCCAATATGGGTCAAAATCTCTAAACCTACCTTAATTCGGACAAGTGGGTGTGAAATTTTGCGAAGATAAAAAATCTGGCACTTTGTATTGGTTGTGGTGATTACGCTTGAGTTTAGATTGAGATTATTCAAAAGACAAAGTTGGCCGCTTCGACGAGGCGTAGAACTTTGATGTTGAACACTTTTCTGTTTGAAGCTGTCTTGGAGCCAATATCTGCCCCGCTATACCAACATATGCCTCCAGGATGTATATGTATTGCCATGTTGATCGAGTTTGCAAATTACCTTGTATGGAGATGACCGCAAAAGCAAATCTTGTTGTTTCGATGAGGCAAACAATTTTCATGTTGACGAGTTTTTGATTTAAGGCCATCTTAAGGGCCAAATTGCTCATGCCACACGCAAGACAAGTATCATTATATGTCTGGGTCGGGCGCCCAAATTTTGAATTTGTTCGTTTCGACGAGATGAAGAACTTTTATGCTGAGTACTTCCTTTTTTTGCCATGTTAAACTCTGTTAGCAAAGCATCACGCATACCAGAAGGCATATGCATATTGTTCAAAAAAAGGCATATGCATACGGCATACACATGGTACGGGCTCCGCGAGCTAGGGCTATACCATCTCTGACCGACAAACAAGAAACCACATCACGTCAAGACTGCACTGACAATGAATCTAGATTGACCATTTGGACCTGCACCATACCGATACCTACATAGATCTCATTTGAAAACTGGCATATCATAACTTGGGAAAGCACGTTTACCTGATTTTGAGAAATTTGAAAAAGTTCATGAATTAAAATATACTGTGGGGTTTTAATTTTTTTATGGATTTTAAAAATACGTTCACCATAATTAAAAAATCATGGAATAAAAAATGGTCACGAATTTTATAAAATGTTTACAGACTTTAATGACGAAATTAAGAAAAAAGAAAGGGAGAGAAAAACCAACTGGGCTTAAGGGGAGTGGCGTTCTGCCCGTGGGCTGGGCCTTGCTAGCGGGGCGGCGGGCCACGTTCATTCATTGGATGACGATGGATAAAGGAAAGAGAAGAAAGAAAGAACGGCATTTGTTTTTTGTTTTTGTTTTTTTTGCGGGGGAATGAAATCACGGCATTTTGGCTCCCCATCGGACGGATCGGAGTTGGCGAGCGACGGAGGAACCCTAGCCTATATCAGAGAAGAAGAACAGGTGCACGCCGCAAATTCCGTGCTATTTCGCAGGCGACTACCGATGGCGGCGCTTCGAGTCGCGGCGAGGAGGCTCGTCGGCGGTGGCCAGACGCCGGCGGTGGCTGTGGAGAAGGCTCAACGCCGGCTCTTCCCGAGGCTCTCCGAGGTCGACCGGGCTAGGTCGACCACGTCCTCCGCTTCTGCTGCCGCGGACACCAATGTGACGGCGGCCAAGGTACTTTACCCCCGTCGGCTCACCAATTTCATATATTTTTTGTGCAATTGTTTCTGCAACCTAGCATATGTTGTGCTAATAGCTCGTTCGATAATCAACCTCAATGTTTCACCAAACAGCCAGGGCATCTCAAAATTGAATCCAGTTCCTGTGTTTCCTCAAGAAAAATGAAAAAAATAACAATTGTTTTCGATCTGACAAGATGCATAATCCGAGGACCGAGTAGCAAAACCCCGTTTCTAAATGCTTTGATCCATGGACCAGCTAGTACTACTATTTTCCCGTTGCATGATCAGTTATGTAGGAACTCATCTTACACTGTACTGCAATCTGCAAAGCAGGGCGGTGAAGATCGGGAGAAACTCCTGACAGAGATCCATAACATGAGAGAGGAGTTGTACGATAAGGTTTTGCACGCGCAAAGGACCTACAATATCCCTGGCAGGGCAGGCAAAAATTTCAGTCGGCTGCGCGAGGAGCTCGCCATGCAAGTGGATCCTAGACCCTGGGACACCACATGGTATGTATGATCATCTTCTCTTTACAAGATTTCTGTGGAGTTAACAAGTTATCTCATCTGAACCCAACCATGCAGGCGCCACACGCGATTGCTAAATGTACTTGAGCGTTGCATCGGATTTGCGGCTTTGTCCTTCAGCTCGTATGTGCTCATAGGCATGGCCGTTGGTAAGATCGTTGAATTGGATCCAGATGAAAAGCAATTAATCAAGAAGAAAAGAGGGGAGGCACACAAGCAAAGTGAAACGAAATGATTGAGAGCCATGTTTATGAACGACACAGGTCCAATAAAAGGTTGTTAGTGTGCGAAAAATGCTAGTAATGGAGGCCACGCTACAGGCAGGCCCACACATGCAAAGCACCTGGGCATCTTACATGCATCTGACATGAACGCACAACATCGGTCGCTGTAGAACTCCTGATCCATGCGTGTGGAGACTTTACGTACCTGTGCATGCACTACTAGAAAAAAGGTCATTTGTCCCGGTTCATAAGGCCCGTTTGTCCCGATTCGGGAACCGGGACCAAAGGGTCGGTACTAAAACTCTATACCTTTAGTCCCGGTTCTTATACCAACCGGGACAGATGGGGCTCCACGTGGCCGCCGCGGCTTGCCATGGCAGGGGGGCCTTTTGTCCCGGTTGGTAGCATCAACCGGGACCAATAAGCTACCACGCGTCAGCAGTTCAGTGACTAGGGTTTTTCTTTTTCTTTTCTGAAGGGCGCGGGGGGGGGGGGGTTGTAGGGTTAATTTATGTGTTTCGTATATTGTGTTAGCTAGCTAATAGAGAGAAGTGTCCTCTCTTATCTCCGTGCTTGGTCGACGCTACGTACTATACGTATAGAGAGGACTTGACACGCTATAGCTAGTAAGCAAATTAATGAAGGAAACCATTAAGTACAGAAGATCGTCGTGAACATATGCATACAGAGAGAAGTGATATCGACCTCTCCTTCTCCGAGAGATTGGTCGAACAACAAGTATTCGTATATCTATCTGACGCACTGACTACATATATACAATATAAGATCTCTTACAATCCCCTAATATCTGAACTCAATTTCCACATGGTATTCTCCGGCTTTATTGATGACGTGATCAAGAAAGAATCTCGCCAATTCCTCTTGAATTGCTTTCATGCGATCTTGTGGTAGGAGTTAATCCCGCATCTGCCACATCTAATTTGAAGAAGGGGTCAATACATATATATGAATGAAACTCAACACAAATGATGGTAATAAAATGAAATTTTGAATATTATTGCTTACGCACTTCATATTGTCTTTTAGAGTAGCCCCGCTTATTCTTGGCCGTCGCATTGTAGATGAACTTGCAAACGTAGTATCCACAGTAATTATTCCCGGGTTCCTGCCACAAGAACTTTACGAGAAATAGAGGTCAATCAAACTAATAATGGAGCATTATAAATGGCATTGATGAAAGTAGCTAGAATCAACGGGAGATGCGCGGAACTAGCTAGCCAGTAGTACTTACTTTCGGGTAAATCGCAGCTCCCCCGGCAGTCCTGGAGCTTGTGTGGTGAATAGTCTCCAAACCCTGCGAGACAAAGAAAACAATTACTTGATATCAGGAAATGAACAAAAAGTTGCCGATATGATGCGATAATGATCGATTGAACTTACTTCTTGAGCATTTTAGTCATGCCCGCATAGGTCTCAGGATCTTTTCGTCTCGAGTCTAAGACGGTTACTAGACCCTGCTCAAGCTTAATCTCCATGAGAATATAGTGGAAGCTGCGCACACATGCATAACTCATCGATTACATTACTATAACCTCGAGTAATAAGGGAAACTGAATATGCACAAGACAGTAACACTCACTTGAAGTTGTAAGGAAAGAGTATGGTATCTTTGTTTTGATTTATTACCAATGATTTGAGCAAGTTGGCCTCGACATCTTTGGTGCTCTTTTTAACCTGAAATTCATCTATGAGATTTGGGTTAATGAACCCAATATCATACATTTCTGCTTTTCTGCACTCGACGATCTTTAATCTGCATAATATAGTGATGATAATTATAAATACATGCAATGAAAGAGCTGATCTATATATAGAGACTTAATGACAGTAGTAGTACTTACAGACAGTAGCAAGTGACCGTTAATTTATCGAGGGCCTTTTGATTGAAAAACTGAAAGAACTCCTCAGAACAGACAACACATCAATTCCAACGAGGTCATACTCCTCTTTAACTCTCAGATACAAAGTATTCGTCCCCCCAGACTCTCTGCAGGTTTTCATGTACCAATCATGGAATTTTCGCATCATCGTTGTTAGAGATTTTTCATCTTTGACGAGAGGCTTCCCGTAATGGTATTTGTGTTCGTCCACCTCCAAGAAATCGTAATGTACATCGCCGGGCAGGTAATCATCAAGATTGGTATAACCGGGCACCATCCTCTGATCATTAGCGACGATATCGCTAGACACCTTGAGCGGGGGGCACGATTGGTTCGCTTGTTCGCCGAGCTGGGCAATTTTTTTCCCAGCTCGTCGTTCTGCTAACCTTCGATCACTGACAGTACTTCCCGACCGCTCCGCTTCCTTATATGCCTTTTCAGTAATGCGCTCATAGTTGTTTTCCGGCGGAGAAGGTGGTGGTTTCTTCAGGGTATCGATAGTACGCTTTAATTTCACCGGATCTATCTTCTCCTTCGGAGGTGGATGTTTCTTTGCTTTCACCCCTTCAAAGAAATCCTTCACTTGGGCTTGACAGATCTTTGCGTTTTCCTGTTCGGTCTTCTCATATGGTAACTTCTCTAGAGGCTTGAGAGATGGACCGAATATGTATTGCCTCCCGCCTCTGGCTGTACTGCTAGACGCCGGAGCAGACGGAGCGGCTGCGGCTGTCTTCTTTCGTGCTTGCTTACGAGGCAGAGGAGAAGGACTACGATGATCCGGAGCAGCCGAAGCGGCGGCGGATCTCTTCCGCCCTTGCTGGCGAGGTGGAGAAGGAGGAGGCTGGCTGCTCGGGCACGCCGGTGCAGGCAGAGAAGGAGGCGGAGTGCCGCCACGCGCCGGAGAAGGAGGCTGAGTGCCCTGATCACTCGCCAGAGGAGGAGGCGGAGTGCCCTGACTCGCCGGAGGAGGAGGAGGAGGAGGAGGAGGAGGCGGAGGCGTCCAGTTCGGCAGGTTGATGAGCTCCTTCCGCCATAGGCATGGAGTCTTCAGAGAAGAACCCAGGCGAGTCTCCCCTTCACCGGTAGGGTGGTCAAGCTCGAGGTCATCAAATTCGTCCGTTATTTCATCCACCATCACCCTAGCATATCCTTCTGGAATCGGCCGGCAGTGGTAGGTTGCGCCAGGTTCAATAGGTAAAACAGAGCCAATAGCCGCCTCGACTTTGAATTTCATCCATTGCGTCGTAAGCAGCTCGGTGGAAGCCACGCTGCTTCTCCGCTGAGATGGCGGGGTAGCTTCGGGGGAAGCTTCGGCAGTTCGTTTGCTGCGATTTGCTTCTCGTTCCTCTATCGCTTGTACCCTTGCGTGCAACGCCTGCAGTTGGGTATGCTCCACTTTCTTCCTCCTCTCATGGCATTTGTAACCGCCTGCGTCCGGAAACCCAGCCTTCCACCGGAATGGAGGCTGGCATGCCTCGTGTCCGTCCAGGGTGCTCAGGATTCCCGAGGGCCATTGTGAGCTCGTCGTTCTCTCTGTCTGGAACGAACGTCCCTTGCTGCGCCGCCTCGATATACTCCTGAAAGTGCAACTATCACTAGGTGGTTTTGGTAATTCATAACAACATATAGCTCATTGAGCTAATGCTATTCCAAGATGACTATTTCAGGAAAGCTCAATGATTGACATGGCATGGATTTGAAAGTGGAACCCTCAAAATGCTAAGGACAAAGGATTGGCTCAAGCTCAAAAGCTCAAGACTCTTCATTTTACATTTTAGTGATCCAAGATCACATTGAGTCTTTAGGAAAAGCCAATACTATCAAGGAGGGATGAGGTGTTGCTTAATGAGCCTCTTGCTTCATGTGCTTAGTGATATGCTCCAAAACCCTCAACTACTTTCCCATATCCACATATGACCTAAACCCTAAGCCAAACTCGGTCCTACCGATTCTTTCTATCCGGCGCCACCGAGTTTCACTTGTCATAAGCCACTGCCAAACCCTAGCAATTCGGTTCTACCGATAGGGATCTCGGTCTCACCGAGATGGGATTGCAAACTCTCTGTTTTCCTTTCGTAACTTTTCGGTCTCACCGAAAGAGCGGATCGGTCCCACCGAGATTGCAATGTAAATTCAGTGTTTCCTTTTTGTAACTTTTCGGTCTCACCGAAAGAGCAAATCGGTCCCACCGAGTTTGCCTGACCAACTCTCTGGTTAGCTAATTACCAAATTCGGTCTCACCGAGTTTGTGTAATCGGTCTCATCGAGATTACGTTATGCCCAAACCCTAACCATATCGGTCCTACCGAGTTGCATGTCAGTCCCACCGAAAATCTCTAACGGTCACTAGGTTTACCTTTTCGGTCCGACCGAGTTTGTTGATTCGGTCCCACCGAGATTGGAAAACTGTGTGTAATGGTTGGATTTTGTGTGGAGGCTATATATACCCCTCCACCTCCTCTTCATTCGTGGAAAGAGCCATCAGAACACATACACAATTCCAACTCATATGTTCTGAGAGAGAACCACCTACTCATGTGTTGAGACCAAGATATTCCATTCCTACCATATGAATCTTGATCTCTAGCCTTCCCCAAGTTGCTTTCCTCTCAAATCTTCTTTCCACAAAATCCAAATCCTATGAAAGAGAGTTGAGTGTTGGGGAGACTATCATTTGAAGCACAAGAGCAAGGAGTTCATTACCTACACACCATTTGTTACTTCTTGGAGAGTGGTGTCTCCTAGATTGGCTAGGTGTCACTTGGGAGCCTCCGACAAGATTGTGGAGTTGAACCAAGGAGTTTGTAAGGGCAAGGAGATCGCCTACTTCGTGAAGATCTACCGCTAGTGAGGCAAGTCCTTCGTGGGCGATGGCCATGGTGGGATAGACAAGGTTGCTTCTTCGTGGACCCTTTATGGGTGGTTGCTTCTTCGTGGACCCTTCGTGGGTGGAGCCCTCCGTGGACTCGCGCAACCGTTACCCTTCATGGGTGGAGCCCTCCGTGGACTCGCGCAACCGTTACCCTTTGTGGGTTGAAGTCTCCATCAACGTGGATGTAGGATAGCACCACCTATCCGAACCACGGGAAAAACATCCGTGTCTCCAATTG